CCGAGTGAAGGAAGCACTGGAACAATTGCACAATGTTAGTATTAGATAACTCCTTTTGCATTTCATAAGTTGTAAGTTGTAAATTAATTGCAAGATAGCCCACCCATAAGTACATTCAGCCCTACAAAGTACAAAGTACTAACAGAAGGACATTGGGATGTGTTTTCAAATACATAAAGCTGTGGGATCTTACAGTTGTACAATCCTTGCAAACGCCGTCCAAGTCGCAAGAATCTTCATCAGGTGAACAACACGGAGGCTAAAGAAAGAAAAATGGCCAAGTCAGTTATCGGATGATGCATCATACTCAAGTAACGACAAACAAAGGTCATTTTACATTTGAAAACATTCAAAACCATCAAATCAAGGATTCACAATATCAAAATGAACGCCATACCAGCTGGTTCTTTAAGAAATACAACACATTAACATCTCAAAAATCATTCAGAATTGTAGCTTCTTCTTTTTTTTTTTTTCCCCTTTCAAAAATACAAGATACCATAAACTATTGGACCATACATTAATATGGATGATACTTGAGACAAACAGAGAGAGAGGGCATATTAATAAAAACTTTAATTAACAACGAAGGACTTCGACTAAGAAAAGAAAAAACAATGAGCATTTCCAGACATTGATCTAGACAGCAATCATTCCCACTAATTATCCACATGAAAAGCATAGTATATCACCAACCTGGTCATCAGGGGGACAATAACTGCCATCTACAAATTTCCGATAGCAACCAAAAGCCTTGGGTGACATCCATACAAGAAAGTCATCAAGCCACGAGGCCCCTGGCTTAGCAATGTGGGTTGATTCAAGCATTAAAGATGCCCTTGAAATCTGCAGAAGACAGAAATAAAAATAAATTGTCCCAATAACTGATTGTATTGCTGAAAGATGAATGTAAAAGAAACTATTTACAGTTGCTTACTGACCCTCAAGAAAGGCTAGTGGAAATTACCCTTATATGATATTTACCACACACAAAAAATAAAAATAAAAGGACGAAAGTAAAAAAAAACTACAGACTTCGTAGTGGAAACACAGAACCAATGATTTTCCTTTCTTCATAATTTTCTAACATTTCAAAAAAAAAGTGAGCATTTTGCATGCATTGAAACCATTTTCTGATGCATGTTGTCACGTCAACTAACATACCATACACTTGTTAATAGTAGGAAGTCTCTTATACATCATACGTTAACACTATATGCACCAAAATAAGAAAGAAAAATTTGAAGTATTGTATCATTGCACTATCGATGAGATATTATAAAAGAGGAAAAAAAAACCCTCATGGAATTTCAAATATGCTAAATGTTGGTGCCAGCGCAATAATAGCTAACACTGATTCTGGTACTTGGAGACTTTTTGAAAACTGCATAATGATCTTCATTTTGGTGTTCCACTTTAAAAATGCTTCAAATGCAAGTTTATGCTTCTTTATTCCCAACCCAACCATATTGTCTCTTGCCAATCTTATCCATCGCTAGAGCCCAGAAAAACACTAGACCTAGGATTACCCCCAAAGGAAGCCTTAAATACTTCAGGGGTAAAGACTCAATAAGACAACCATACCAGCAAACCAATCCCTATAAACTTTCTTTACGGAAATTAATCCTCACAATGGTACTTTTATCCAAATTCTCCTTAAGCCCCGTAGCCAACTCAAACACTCTTAACAAGGAAGGCAAATAAACCATTTTAACTTCCTCACCAAAAGATAATGTTATCATCTGAAAACTAAAAGTGGAACATGGACACATTATCCCTACATATCAAAAAGCCATCCACCAAACCCACCTTTTCCCTATCAACCAATCAGTTCAAAACATCAACCACTAATGTAAAAATAAATAGGGATACGATAACCCCTTGTCTAAGCCCCTAGTGGCTCTAAACAAATCCCCACTTCCATTAACTACTACTGAAAGATTCGAAGAAGAAAGAAAGTCCCTGATCCATTTCCTCCACCTATCTCCAAACTCTTTCTTCTCCATTGAAAAATCTAAAAACCCACAACTTTTAAAGAGGAAGGGCACTAACAATGTGCATGAATTTGAAGAAATTATGGTTCTGGGAGGAAAAAGTGATATGCCTATCTTGTCGTGCAAATAGTGATGTCAAAAGTTTGTTACATTGAATTACGTGTTGAACTAACAAGAAAAGAACAAGTTATATCAAATGTTGCTACACTATGAGTTTTGCAAAAAGTTTGTAAGACATCATAGGAAAAAAGGAAGCAAATAATAGAAGAAATATAATGATACAGACATAAGCATGTTCCAGAATAGGGTTCAGATTCAGAAGATATAGTTCAAAGAACAACAAAATTTGTTTTAGTCTTGCAACTTCTCCAAGACCCAGGCTATTCCATTTCCAACATAAATCATGTTATATGTTGGATAAAATCATATGCACATCTAGGCATGTTAAGTAATACTTGAGCTATCGAAGCAAAAATGTCAATATGACCTACTCCCTCCGTCCCAAAATATTAGTCCCTTATTCCATTTTTCATTGTCCCAAAATATTAGTCCCTCTTCAAAAATCAAGTACAAAAATAATATAAATTTCCTATTTTGCCCTTCTTTTAAATTAATAAACAATATAAAAAGTACAATTATGACATTGATATTCTCAAAAAATGTACTATCAAAAGGATAATTTTGGAAAATTAACTTTTTTCAAATACAATAATTGTACTACCAAAAAAAGTTAGATTCCCCAAAAGGGACCATTATTTTGGGACGGAGGGAGTTATATTACCTCACTCAAAAGAGAATTTGCATCACACTGGCATAGAACATAACTGGTTCGTATGTCTTGATTCCGAACTATAGAAAACAGTCATTCACAAGTAGATCAGACAACTGTGTGATACCTAAACTTGTATAGATTGCATAGGAAAGAGACAACATTTAATATCCATCACCAATTGTAACAGTCAGAAAATCAGCTTGATACTTTCTTTGCATTAAGGCTCACTCAATGCTTAAGAGAGGGTAACCCTTATCAACTACTAAAATATGTGTTGCCTACATCACATTTTGCAAGACATTTTTATTTTTCTTTTTCTTTTTTTCCTTTTTTTAACAAAACAATTATGCACCACATGGTTAAGGTTGTGTCTCATGCAAAACCATATAGCATTCTAATGAAACAAAATGGATGTTTCCATTAGCCTGAAGTAGAAGAATCCCACTTCAAATAATACTGGACTGCATCAATCAAGAAGAAATAGAGTTTGACTTCCAGTCCGTGTATAAAATTAGCATCCATGCATTGAACCTGAGATCTCCACATTATAGAAAGTGGAATGGCTCCAATAAAGGAAGGTTAACAAACAATAAAATATACTTGAACGGATCCTACCAATCCTTACGATAATTACATCAAGCAGGGTCTGAGCCTAAACACTATCATGTATCATGTTCTACCTGGAGAAAGAAAATAAACTATAAATAAAAGGAACCAAAAAATGGTTGCAATTCTCACCATAAATTTCCATCTGTAAATGCAAATCTTCACCCTCTTTGCTTTTTGGGAATTGGATACTCTCATAAGTAGACCATGCGACTATATATTAGTTAGCACAACTTTGTTTAATAAGGCAGGGCAGTTAATAAGTAATGAAAAATAATTTTGGACTCTAAAAGATGGGTGGAAACTATTCCAGTCCCTCCTTGACATATTAATTGCCTTCCCTTCCGAAGTGTCTCTGTCCCATGAAGAGGCTTTGGTTTGTTTTCTTTATCCCTTGTTCTTTCAAAAAATGGTGAAGGAAGAAAGAGGCCTCTGTGTGTTACATGCATGTATTCCAAAAGTCCAGCTAAAATCATATCTGACTGAATCATCTAACAAACAGGCAAACGTTACCCGTTTATGATATGAATCTGAGCAAGGAATCCCTTGGCAAACGTTACCCGTTTATGATATTCACACCAATTAGCTTATATTATTTTACTATAAATTTTATTTTACACATTACTCAGTTAAAATAAGTGTTTGTTTTATTTGTCTAGATTTTTTACTTTACATGTATCTAATAAAAAACTGGATATGCCAAACTTTAAAATATATATATATATATATATATATTAATAAAAACTTAACAAAGTAATTTTGTAACTTACAAGCAAAGAATTTTTTTTATATAGAAAAATTTACAATGTCAAAATAAAAAAAAAAAACCTCGTTTAGATTTTTCGCTTTGGGTACAAAAATAAGAAAAAAAATAGTGGATATACAATGCCAAAGCAAAGTGAAAGCGATTAAAGGAATGTGAATATGATTGAGAACCGATGTTAATTTTGAATGAGAACAAATATGAGATATTCATTCTTTATGGTTAAGGTTTTGAAATCAAAGCCCCAATGGCACAACTATCTTGGATGGCTATAGATATTAATTTTGACTGATAAAAAAAATTAATAACAGATATTCAATAAGGGTTAGGGTTTTGAAATCAGAGCACCAATGGCACATTTAGATGAAGCTTAGAGTTAGCAACAAACCTGAACTATGGAAAAGAGTTCTCGGAAAAATTTGACTCGACTGGAAGGGAAGGGAAAAGATGATGACTAGGTCTTTGCTCACAAACCCATGGTGGAGATGTCCAGAGAGTGAGAGCTTGTGAAGAAGATGTCAACATGGCTAAAGCCCGGATTGCCGACGAGGTTGGTGGTCCTCGGAAGCTTCAGTTATGGCGGAAGAGAAGAGGGAGGAGAAGAGCCAACAAGAGGCTCAACACGACTGATTCAATTTTGTTCCCCCCTTGTAACCGGCTACACCGGTTGCCTATTTGAGAGTTAAATTATTTAAATAATTTAGTTATGACCTGGTTATGAGATAATATGGTATAAATAAATAACTGAATATAAATAAGTTATGAGTAATATGATAGCGGTTATGACTAATATGGTATTGGTTATGACATAAAATCATATAAGTTCATAATTACCCGAGTGTACAAAAGAACATAACTGCCAAGAATGGTTGATGTTGTTGTCTCTTCCATAGTGCGGAGACTTGGTGGTCTTCTCATTGATCAAGTAATTTTTTTGCAAGGAGTGAGAGATGAAGTCAACTATCTGAGAACCAAATTGGAATACATGTTGTGTTTCTTGAAAGATGCAGAAGAAAAACAATATCGAGACAGTAGGATACGCAAATGGGTATCCGATATTAGAGATGTTGCTTACGAAGCCGAGGATATTATCGACAAGTTTGTTCTCAAAGTTAAAGGAGGGATTCCCAAAAGGACAGGGTTCAAAGCTTGCCTCAGAAAGTACTTTTGCATCTACAAACAAGCAAACAAGTATGGGATAGGTAAGGAGATTCAAGAATGGAAGAATAGACTCGATGAAATAGATCGAAATCATGAATTTTTCAAGATTAGAAATATCGAAGCTACTGGGGAGGGATCAAGTAGCATGAATGAGAGATTCAAGAAACTACTAAGGACAACACCTTATGAAGACGACCAACATGTTTTAGGCTTCACGAAGGATGTTAAGTTACTGACATCTAAACTTCTCCAAGAAACGCCCCATCAATGTGTGATTTTGATTGTGGGCATGGGCGGTTTGGGTAAGACGACCTTAGCTCGAAAACTTTACAACTCTAGCAGTGTTGGAGATAAACTTTACAACTCTAGCAGTGTTGGAGATAAATTTAAACGTAAAGGTTGGGTTTCTGTATCCAAGGATTACAACATCCAAAATCTTCTTCGAAGAACAACAAAATCTTTCAAGATGCCAACCACCAAAGATGAATTGGAGATGTTGGAAAAGATGGAAAAAGAAGATTTGGAGTGCCATTTACATGAGTTGTTGAAAGAAAGTCGATACCTGGAGGTGATTGGTGATGTATGGTGTCACGCCCCATTTTTTTATTACTCGAAGCATTACCAATTTTCATTTACTTAATTCCATTTCAGAGATAACATGCAGAAATAAACTCATATATTCAACTCGTAGAAGTGAATAGTATTGCTCTCATTCGAATGCAAGTGAATGCAACATGAGTATAATAAATAAATTGCCCTCAGGCTTACAACATTAAATAATCAAAAGAAGGGTGCAACCCTTTTACATATATGGCGTTCCGCCTACAACAAAGAGGCCCCGTGGCCAACAAATAATGTAACGCCCTCAAAATAATAACAATAAACCCATCTAATAGGACATACATTTACATATAAACTAACCACATTCTTTCATTCTTTAGAGTTCCATTACATAAGTACTACATGTTAACCTCATAACAAAATGCCCTACGGGCTTACAGCTTTCCAAGTTAACACTTGGTTACAACAAAGAGTTCTAACTCGTTTACACATTAAGCCCTTGGCTTGAAATTACATGTAATACATCAAAAGTAAAACGACAAAATACCACACAAATAGGAGATGCTAACTGTGCTAACTCCAATTCCAAAACAGATGCAAATGCAGCAGATACAAAAGAATGAGATGCACCCGTGTCTATCAACACATTAGCAACCGAGTTGCAAAACAGAAAAGTACCTCTCACTACTGATGGAGCTGGTACTAAATCCTGCGCGGTAAGCAAGACTCCGGTACAAACAAACGGTCTCGGTATCTCACACTCAGGTCGGGATACACCGTCAAACCCTTCTCAACTTTCCCACTGGAGATCTTCTCTCGGAGGGATTCTACCTCAAGGTCACCTCTCTGTGCCTCTAAAACTCTAATCACAAGTGTAGGCTGCGCAACAACAGAAAACAAGGCCGCAGCCTCAACAAATTCGCCCAGTAGCAAATCAAACTCACCAAGTGCTCCCAACATCTCCCAATTCCGGATGGCTATACAAGCTACATCACTAATGGTCTTCCTACTAAGGGCATCGGCCAAAACATTGGCCTTTCCCGGATCTTAACGATCTATTTGAAAATTAAAGATCGGGTTGGTAGTGTGTTGCCACCGATGTATGATCCGCGAGGGCGAAGTAAGCTTAGTGGTGTACTGCTAGCTTTTTGAGTGGTGAGTGTGATGAGACCCAAATTGTATTGCCGAGGGTGGTTTATGAGTATTCAGATGTTTTTGAGGATCTCGTTAGTTTTGCCACTTCACCGAGAGATAAAGTTCTCTATTGATTTAGTGCCCGGCACAGCGCCGATTTCATGGCACCTTATCGTTTTTTCCCAGCCGAGTTAAGTGAGTTGAAGATTCAGCTCCAGGAATTGCTAGATAAGGGTTTTGTTCGCCCTAGTGTTTCCCCGTGGGGAGCACTAGCCCTCTTTGTTAAAAAAGAAAGATGGTGCCTTGAGATTGTGATCGACTACGAAAGTTGAATCGGGCTACAGTTAAGAATAAGTACCCTATGCCCCGTATAGATGATTTGTTTGACCAGTTGAAGGGTTCCTGTTGTTTCTCTAAGATAGACTTGAGATCGGGTTACCACCAGTTGAGGTCAGGGAGGAGGATATTCCTAAGACGGCATTCCGTATGCGGTATGGCCATTATGAGTTTCTGGTGATGCCATTCGAGCTTACCAATGCCACCAGTAGCTTTATGGACTTGATGAACGGATCTTCCGGAATTCTTTGGATCGATTTATGTCATTTTCATGGACGACATTCTTATCTATTCACCTTCTGAGGAGGAGACACGAGGAACACTTAAGAGTGGTGCTTGAATTGCTTAGAGCCCATAGGTTGTATGCCAAGTTTTGGAAGTGTGAGTTCTGGCTAGGAGAGGTCAAATTCTTAAGCATGTGGTATCCGAGGAAGGGTGTCTGTTGATACATCCAAGGTAAAGGCAGTGCAAGATTGGGCACAGCCTAAGAGTGTGTTTGAGATCTGCAGTTTTCTGGATTAGCTGGTATTACCGTCGGTTTGTGAAAGATTTTCCAGGCTAGCTTCGCCTTGACTAAGATTGACGCGGAAAGGGGTCAAGTTTGTGTGGGATGAGACTTGCGAAAAGTCTTCCAGGAGTTGAAAGTTAGATTGACCACCGCTCCAGTTTTGATTATTCCGGAGAGGGGGTTGGGTTATGCGGTTTATTGTGTGCCTCACGAGAGGGTTTGGGTGTGTGTTGATGCAAGAGGGGAAAGTGGTAGCTTATGGCTCACGTCAGTTGAAAATGCACGAGAAGAATTACCCTACACACGACCTAGAGAGTTAGCAGTTGTGATCTTCGCCTTGGAGATTTGGAGGCACTACTTTTATGGTGAGAGGTTCGAGGTATTCTCGGACCACAAGAGTTTGAGGTATCTGTTTACACAGAGAGACCTGAATTTGAGGTGGAGGAGATGGATGGAGTTCATTGAGGACTATGATTTTGAGTTGCACTATCATATTTTGACTGGTATAGACTATCATATTTTGAGGTTTGTGGCCTACTCCTACCTGTTGTATAGGAGAGTTATTATATTTTGGGATTGGCTAGCAGCTTGTGTGTGCTGAATGTATTTACATTATGGTTAAAGTGCTGCCATCTTGGTATAGTCTTACTAAATGAAGCTACGGTGACTATTGTGGAGCTCTCCATGCTAATCATTATAGCTCTTGTTTTCCGCGGGGGGGATTTCTTTATATCCCGTATGATGCTGCCCATTTTTGGTCTAAAGATGTACAGGACCCCTATTCTATGGGATATGGTTGTTGTTGAACATCTTAGATATATATGAACTTTGTATGGCTGTAGGCACGTCGTTTTTTTTTTTTTTTTTTTTTTTAGGGCTTTAAGTGAGGAGAGTAGTTCCTTGATGTGTGGCTTTGTATAGTTATGGTAGGGCCTAGGTCATACCCCTTGTTAATTTGTATATTTTCTAGTTTTATTTATGTCTTATTCACCCTCCCAAAAAAAATATATTGAAATGACGGTATAATCTAAGATACTGATACTACATTATTTATTTTGAAAACATATATTATTGCAGGAAAATAACCAAAAAAAGATGAGTACAACTACCGCAGGTAAATGTAGCGACGAAATGCCCCTGGTGGAATGAGAAGTCATTGCTCAAAGAATGGTAAGATTTATTGCGTTTCCTCCATTTGCAAGATATGGTCTAAGGCTAGAAAAGCCACCTGAACTGGCAACACCGCCATTTCCAACAGCCTAAAAGGGTTAATGTTCATGTCAGAGATTTTCTTCACTTTCTTCTCTTGCACCTGTTGAACTCAAGAAATAAGCATATGAGCCATTGAGTGAAAAGCATAACCATCAAAGACACACAAAACGGTCTCATTCAGATATCTACACATATTTGAGATATTAATCAGAGTGAAATATGTCAAATAAGTGTAACAACCATGTCTGAGTGTTGTTCACATTCTCTAATATAGACTGTATATAAAACTAGGGGTGGTGGAGGCTGGCTTTAAAGTTTTGCCCAAAACATAAATAAAGGCATCATCTTTTATTCAACAGGATCAACTTGGTCAACAGAAAATTGGCATTTCCTCATCTTTTACTTTTTTTGAAATTTTGTAATAGGCTAAAAAAATATTCATAACTCAGTTAAAGCGTATATTTGATAAATTTAAGAAGGGAAATTCACGATGAAAAATTGATTTTCATCAATTGGTATGAAATCTGAAGCAATAAAGAGAAAAAATAGACATCAAAAAGAAGTATTTTGATTCATATATATATCAAAAAAAACTCCAAAAACTTCATAGTAAAATGAAAAAATTTAATGATAGCAATGGGAACCATCACAATTGATCTGATTTAAATCTGCTACCTATTTAATTACATGTGAGTGCGTTTAAAATTCAACGCCTTCACAAAAATAAGCTTTAGGTTGATTACCTTTGGGTTGCCTTCAAAGAAAGCCTTTTTAGATTCTGGAGCATAGTTAATCTACAATTGATCCGTCCTTTTTT